ATGGTGAAGGAGTTTCTTCGTTAAGATATAAAAGATTCATTCGCCATTTTAATCGTTGACGTGAGAAAGCAATATTGATAGAATAAGGACTTTTTGTATATAACGTAAATTCATTGTTAATGGTTTTACAATGGGAAGGCATTGAAATTTGGGAAGAACTGGTCATCATTGATCATGAATTAATCTAAGAACTATTGATAGAATAAAGATTTTATGTGTATAATATAAATGCATTGTTAACAGTTTTACTAAAAAAATGCATTGAAAATGAGGAATAAACGGACTCTCTTTGGTCAGGAATTAATGCAAGTAGCGCTTATAGAATAAAGATTTCTATATATATAGTTTACATGCCTTATTTACAGTTTTAACTATAGAAATGAATTGAAAAGGATTTTCTATGCATAATGTAAATGTCTTGTTAATAATTTTACTATAGAAATGCATTGGAAATTAGAAATAAACGGACTCTCTTTGGTCAGGAATTAATGCAAGTAGCGCTTATAGAATAAAGATTTTCTATATATATAGTGTACATGCCTTATTTACAGTTTTAACTATAAAAATGAATTGAAAAGGATTTTCTATGCATAATGTAAATGTCTTGTTAATGATTTTACTATAGAAATGCATTGGAAATTAGAAATAAACGGACTCTCTTTGGTCAGGAATTAATTCAAGTAGCGCTTATAGAATAAGATTTTCTATATATATATAGTGTACATGCCTTATTTACAGTTTTAACTATAGAAATGAATTGAAAAGGATTTTCTATGCATAATGTAAATGTCTTGTTAATGATTTTACTATAGAAATGCATTGGAAATCAGGAAGAACGGGTTTGTCAGTGGTCAGGAATTAATGGATTTTTACTGACAGACTAGGGCCATTATATGCATAACATTTCGTCCGAGTTGCAACATTTCTCCATATATTTAACCGATATATGAACCATCTAGATAATAGGCTAAAATATATTATAACCTTTCTATTTGTTCGACGGTGGAAGATTAAAAAAGTTGATGTTGCAAAAGAAAATCATTTTTTTTCTTTTGTCCTTTTTGATATTTCGTAATCTTGGTTTAGTTTGGCATAAGGCCAAATCGGGGTGAGAGCATAGGATGGTTTTCTAGGACAATCGTTCAACTAAGAAGAACTTACTTGCTTTGAAAATCAGCATTCAGTATCCTACCTTTCTTTTTCTTTTCTTTTTTTTATTCTGAAATAGAACATCTACCCCTAGAGCCAATTGGCAAATATCTCGGTCACGATGGCTGATATTTATCACAGATCGTTTGCATATTTTGCGCTGTCGACAGTAGTCGGTGTTCGAGTCTAAACAAGAGGTAAAATATCATACTCTGATTCGTGCTGGATCAATAACCCTAGGCCTTATTCTTCGAGCCTCAACCGATACATGAAAATGCGATTAGCATCGAACTGCATATATTCTATTTTTTTTATTTTTATTAATGCATACCAACTATAAAGTTTAATTTATAAATATGGCACAACAAGAGATTAACAACAATGACTAATAATAAAATAGAACAATTCTAACAATATAGACTGTAATAAAAGTTATGTGACAGATAGAAGATTCGTTCTTACCGTAGATCTTATTAGGCACAATAAAAGATTAACAATGATAACTAATAATAAAATAGAACAATTATATCAATAAACTGGAATGAAAGTTATGTGACGGATAGAAGATTCGTTTTTACCGTACATTTTATTATGCTTAATAAGAAATTAAAAAAATTAACTAATAATAAAATTAAGAACCTTCAAAAAGCGAAATCTAAGTTTAAAATTCATTTTAAAAACTGAAAATTCTTGAAGCTTTAATTTTATTATTAATTTCAAGACAATAGGTTAAATATGTTCTCAATCCCTGGTCTGGCGCCTCGTCTACAGTCACTCTCTCACAGACGCGCCGTCGCCTCTCTCTGTCTTTTCTACAAATACTTTCATGGTAATCGCTCCGATGAGCTGCTTTCACTGGTTCCCAGACTCCATGAATTCAAGCGCCCTACGAGGTTGGCATCCCGCTCCCATCCTTACACTGTAGAAACTTTTAAATGTAGCCGTCTCTTCTACTCCAATAGCTTCATACCTCGTACCTCTCTCCTGTGGAACACCCTTCCCAATTTCTGTTTCCCTGAAAGCTATAATCTCCTACTATTCAAATGTAATGTCAATCGACATCTCCAGTTACCTTGCTCTATACACTATTCTTCTCCTCATCCTTTCTTCTATCACTCCTATCTGCTCTCGCTCCAAATCTTCTGCAACCCCCTGTATCCTAGTGACTTCACGCCTTGCTCGGGCGTAATGCTTAAAAAAATATATATATTTTGATGTATTTCAAAAACGAATTTAAACCCATTGGAATATTTTTCTACTTAACAAAATTTACAAATTTGTCCATAATATCAAATTTATCAACATAACGTAATACTTTTTATTAAAAAAAAAACTTTCAAAAATAAAATATATTTTCTTAACTTTAATTAACCTGAACTAAAACAAATATTATTTACTTTTATTTTAAAATATCGTTGAGAAACATTTTTTTACACAGAGGTGGGTGTTTTTCTAACGTGTTGTATGATTTCTTGACAGTCTGATGTTTGAATAACTTAATTAAGGGGACGGAACTGTAGAAATTACTTGACGAATACAATGTGAACACTTTTTTACATAATATTTTAACTACCCAGTAATCTTAAAAATTGAAGAAAATATTTTAAGCAATCTAATATTTTATTGAATTTTAAGTACTTTCGTTTTATAGACTGACTTACGAAGACGCTTGTTGAAAATGTTAGAAAATTATCAATAAATTTTAAATTTACTAAAGGACATTATGAGAAAATAAGAGAACTCTCTTATTTTCTCATAATGTCGTGTTTGGGGTGTACGTATTTACAAAAATCAATACATTTATACACAAAAAATATTCAAAATTCTTTTTAAAATGCTCGGGGTTGTTGAACTGTAGTGAGCTTTTCCATTTAAAATTAGTAAATATGGTTTTAATTTAATAACAATATCACTTGACCGTTACAAATTAATATAGAATTTTAAAAGATTTCAAAGTTTATCAATTATTCAAATTATTCAAATTCAAATTAAAAAAAAACAATTCTTGTAAAAATTCATGGAAAATAATTTTTTAAAGCAGTAGTGTCCATAATATATTTTATTCAATTAAAAGCTTTTCTAATTTAAAAAAATGTCTTAGTTTTATTGCATTTTGTAATTTATCATTCAGGGCATTTTGGTGATTTAAATTCTCCAAGGTCTTGTGCTTAGGTTATCACAAAAAGAATTTCTCGAGATTTTATTAAAAAAAAAAATGGGTTGGGGGTAACAAATATAAAAAAAACAAAGGTTTTTACAAAGATTTTCTAAAATAAAACGTTTAAAAAATAATTTAATTCATTGCTGAATAAATCCTGAAAGGTTCATTAAAATTCAACAATTATTTAATTTTTGCAAGAATTTCAAAATCAATGTTTATCAGTACAAAAAAAATAAGAAAAAAACGCTAAAATTTCCCCTTTTCCTGTACAAATTTAAGGGGACTTTACAATATGTTTGTCTTTGGTAATGTTGAAAGCTAACAGATTAATTGTATTATTTTCTCTTTTCGTTAAATGTGTCATCCCATTTTTGTTGCTGGCGCAAAAAATTAAAAAAAAATCAAGATTTTTAGAAAAAATTTTGACGATTCTAAAAACAATAATAAAAATAATTTTTACATAAAAAATACTTTGATCTTTCCTATTAACACAAAGATTTTGATGATAGAATTTTTTTTTATTATGTTTTGGCAAGTTTTTCATGATGTAGCCTCTTTTTTAGCGAATTTTTAGAGGTACCAAAATAAAATAGAAAAGTTAGCAATATACTGTCATAAAAGTCATGTGACTGATAGAAAATTCCTCATTACTGTTGCTGTTAGCAATCTCAGCATTTGATTTTTTTCTTTGTATTTTAAATCCTTAATGTTCCCCTTTTCACTTGAAGAGAGACTTCTGAATAGCCAGCATTCTAACTATTCTTACTATTTCTGACTCTCATTAAGTAAAACATACATTGTTTACTAATGGAAGTGATATCGCGGATAAATGTTGCTAATGCATGTTGAAATTTAATTGCATATCGTCTTCATTGAATAATAATAATAATAATAATAATAATAATTAGTGTATGTTTATTGACATAACTGTACCGTCTGAAAGAAACATCTCCATGAAAATTATTGAGAAATTGTCCAAATAGAAGGACCTGGAGATCGAGATTAACAGGATGTTGGGAATGAAGACTGAGACTGTACCAATAGTAATCGGAGCTCTGGGCCCCGTCGGAAAAGGAATGGACAATTTCACTAACAGTGTCCCAGGTAACATCAACATAGAAGTTGCCCCGAAGATCGGCCTACTAGGAATATACCATATACTAAAGAATAGTGCTATCAATTAAATGACAATTCTCCTACAGGGCCTAAGGACTTTAGTTTAGACCCGGCTCTACAGGATACAAAGCAGGAAACATAACATACACAAATAATAATAATAATAATAATAATAATAATAATAATAATAATCTCTTACCTTGGATCGTTTGTTACGACTTTTCGGGGGTAACTTTATATCCAGATACCCGGCGTGTTCCTCGCCTCTCATGGTTATTTAGTAAATGCTGATCGCAAATAAATCAGCAAATCTAAAAAATTCGTTAAAAGGAAAAATTGAACGAAAGCTTGCTTTTCTCCCACTTGTGGCCAAACGAAACTCAAGGGAAAATTGTTGTCATTGCTGTAACGAAGTATTTCTGTCTTCTAAGCTGACCAATATTAAAAGAAAAAAAAAGAAGTAAAAAAAAAGCGCTAAGTTCGAAAGTTCGGTTTATATTGCCGCTGAAAAGTGTGTTTCTACGCATGCGCACCATACCACTAAATGCTTATCTCGAATTAAATTAACTATTCTATGTCTTGTTTCACTGCTCCCTCTCCTTCTTTTTTTCACTCTTTCTCTGTTTCTTATCTATATGTGATTTTTTTTATCATTCTTTGCACAAGTAGCAGGAGGATACCATCGGTTTAAAATTTTGACAACTGAGAAACTAATGAGCTCTCAAAAACACTAAGAGAAAACCGTCCTTGGTATGACGATAGACTACATCCAACAGCAAGGCCTCTGATCAGGAAGTTTTGAGCAGCGTGGAACCACCTCTTAATTACTGGTGTTTTTAAGTTCACCTGTTAGGATCCCAGCTATGTTGTAAACAGTTAACCCCAAACTGGGATCAAAACACCATAAAAGTGTAAAAATAAATTTTAATACCAGTAATGAATTTTTGAAGAAAAAATTATTACCAGCAATACATTTAAAAAAATACCAGCAATACATTTTTGACCAAAAATATTACCAGCAATAAAAAATTGTCAAGGACACATGGCACAGTGAATAAAGGCGTTAGTTAGATCCAGTGACAGAACCCAAAGAGTGTGAGTTCAATACCCGGTTAAGGCAGTGGAGAACTTGGAAAGGGAATTAAACTGGAGATAACTGATAACTGACATCCATTAGACGTGGCACGTGGAACTAGAACCGTCTACCCCAGTGAGCGAAATAAAGGGTTCAGTTCGATATTCCAAGCACCTGAAGAAGGCCGAAGCGTACAACGGCCGAAACGTTGTAATAAATATGGCGACAAAGATGAGGACAATAGTCCGAATAATGTAAATAGTGAATAAAAATCTTGTCGGAATTAAGTAACCCATTGAGGTTGATATGCCATAAAACAAAACAAACCAAACTAAGAGAAAATTGCCGTTTTAAATGTAAATGTAAAGTAAATGTTTTTTTTTCCTGATTCTAACTCGATCTTTACTAAGCTTAGCGCAGTTGAAGGCCAAATAGGATGACATGAAGGGGACAGGAAAGGCAACCTTCAGACGATGGAGCGCCTGTTTAAGAACCCACCACAGAAAAAAAAAAACTGAACTTTCAAAATTATAATTTTTAGGCCCTTTATGTCGAGCTCGAACCCAGGCCTCTGAAACGGTTGATTGATTCGTTTTTTATCAACCCCTTGCAGGTTATTTAACCCTTTCTTTACCAATTATTTTTGGGGAAAAGTTTCATTTTCAGAAGAATTCTTTTATTTGTTTTTAATATAGTAACTAAGAAACTGAGGCACCTTGAAGTACCCAAGCAATGGCTCACATCTCTATCAGACGTATGAGTTGACAATTAGACTCATTTCAAGCCCAGAATGGCAAAAAAGAATCAAGATCGACTAAGAACAGAGGCCCCTTGAAGTACCCGAGTGGTGGCTAACACCTCTACGAGACATATGAGATGACAAAGCTCAGAAGGGCATAAAAAGAAACAAGATCGAAGTATAAACACGTCTGTAGCAGGTTTTCGAACGTTATGTTTTAGATGTGTTTATTCATCAGTCTAGAAAAGACACTTTTCGGTAAAAACGTATATACACGTCTACAACGATGAAAGGGTTAAAGCCAGAAAATATCTTTTAGATTAAAGAAAAAATTTTTGAGATAATAATGATACAAGTCTTACTAATTAACCCAAAGCTGGAGGGAAAGAGGTGGATTTATACCTTTTCCGGAGGGTATTTGCGAGTAAGTAAATATAGCAAAATCAACGGGAATTGCAACTCGACTTTCCGATTAATAATTCTCAGAATTTATCCATTACACCATTTGCAGATAAAAGCTTACAGATCCTGGTATTACCAAGTGGTCAACCATCTAGGCACTGACCAAGCTCAACGTTGCTTAACTTCGGGGATTGTACGTGAACCTGTTTCAACGTGACATGGCCGTAAACCATATCGTCCGCACATCCAAGTGGTCACCCATCTAGGCACTGGCCAGGCTCAACGTTGCTTAACTTCGGTGATTGTACATGAACCGGTTTCAAAATGCTATGGCCGTAAACCATTCCGTCCGCACATCCAAACTTACAGTTCCTGGTATTCTCAAGCGGTCAACCATCTAGGCACTGATCAGGCTCAACGTTGCTTAACTTCGGTAATCGTACAGGAACCGATGTTTCCACGTGATGTGGCCGTAAGAACGTTACTATATTATCCCTGAAAGAGGCTGGGCATTTTTTTTTTTCGCTGCATAAAGCCCGACATAATCTTAGTAAGATTTGTTACGCCACTATTCCACCTGGGGTAGGCCTGCTTAGAAAATCATTATTCGAAATTTTGTTGTGCAATACTATTTATTGGCTCTGTAATGATAAATACATTGAGCTCTTTTTGTGGATCAGTTTTAATATTTTATATTACTAGGATCCACTTGGATTAAATACCAACAACATTACCTATATATATTTATATATATATATATATATATATATATATATATATATATATATATATATGGATGGATAGATGAGAGAGAGAGAGAGAGAGAGAATTAATACAATTAAAAGGCTTTTTACTTATCTGATTGTTATTACCTTCAGCATCCCGGCTCCAGAGTTTTGTAGACGGACAGTCCGAACATTAATCCGCCCGCTCGTCAGGTGTATTAGCAACTGACGATATTCAGTCATCCCCCCCATCACGAGGGCGTCATGTGGCACAAGGCCTTTTTAACGTGGGCTCGGCCCAAAATATGCCCATTGAACCCGTATAAACGAGTTCAGGGTCGGTTTACCTCCCCGAAGGAGAATCCGCCCTTCGGCGTAGCTCCTTCGGGTTCCTCCCCGCCCGAAGGCAGAGATTTCAACCGAACAGCCGGTCAAGAGTTGAGCGACTGACTCTTATACTTCTTGATTTTCTCTTTTTTATATGCACTTTTCATTAGTGCGAGGTTTTTTCTTATGCCCTTATGGTCTAGGCTTTCGACTTTCTTAAGTCATCATCAGGGTAGATAGTGACAAATGGGGTCAGTAGAGACGTGCGCAAGAAGTGTTGTGACGTAACCGAAGCGTGACGTAAGTCTGTTTATTTTATTTAATTATTTTCTTATTTATATTCATTTGAAGATTCAGCCTCTTAAATTATAATTGTTTTTATTTATAGATGGCTGTTTTTGTTGTGTGAGCATTGTTTCGAGTATCATATGTCTGTTATTAGTTTTTTTGATTTTACTAGTATTTTGGTATTGTTTGTGAGTAGCGGTCTAATGTTGCTCACCCGCATTCTCAAATGTATATAAAATAAAATAAACACACACACATACACACGCATCACACCTGGCCTACGTCACTACACACTTTGCCAACGTCACCACAAAATTTACTAACGTCACAACACACTTTGCCAACGTCACAACACACTTTGCCAACTTCACAATACACTTTGCCAACGTCACCATGTCAACGTCACAACACACTTTGCCAACGTCACTACACATTTTGCCAACGTCACTGTCAACGTCACAACACACTTTGCCAACGTCACTACACATTTTGCCAACGTCACTGTCAACGTCACAACACTGCCAACGTCACTACACACTTTGCCAACGTCACAACATTCTTTGCTAACAACACACTTGCCAACGTCACTGCACTCACCAGATCAACGAAACTCTCCATTTGTCTCTACCTATCCTGATGATTTAAGAAAATAACTTAATAAAATCGATTTAAGAAATGACTTAATAAAGTCGAAAGGATGAACCATATTTCTACCAAAATGAACTTTGAAGAATTATCTAACAGAATTTTCTCCTAATCTGAGTAGGATTATTCGTAATTTTGAAAAGTCCTAAAGACACATGGTTCAGTGGATAAAGACGTTGGTTAGATCCAGTGACGATATCAAAGAGTTGTGAGTTCTATACCAGGCCACAGCAGTGGTGAACCTAAACTTGGAGAGTTAAGTTAAAGGGAAATAACTGAGACATCCGGAAGAGGCATGGCACGTGGAACTAGAACAATCTACTCCGGTGGATGAAATAAATGTTCGATTCGAAATTCCAATCACCTGAAGAAGGCCAAGAACGCGTACAACGGCCGAAACGTTGTGAATATGGCAATGAAGATGAGGATAACAGTCCGAATAATGTAAATCTCAGAGATATAGACAGATATCAATCAATAAAAATTAATTGACACAAAACCTCTGTTGTCGTTAACCATATACAGTGGAACCTCGGTTCTCGAACGTGTCACATATCAAACAAATCAGTTTTCGAACAGAAAATTCGAGATGAAATTACCTCGGTTATCGAACAAAACTTCGGTTCTCATAGCCGAACATAGCCGAACATAACCGAACCGAGTCGACCGCTGTGTTGTATACATTCGTGTGTTGTGCCGTGCTTTTCTTTTTATTGTACTGTGACTTTTTCTCTAGACTTATTCCTATTGTAAAATAGTTTCGGTTTACGAACACTTCAGTTTACGAACGGCCTTCAGGAACGAATTAAATTCGTGAACCTAGGTTCCACTGTTTATATATATATATATATATATATATATATATATATATACAGGGTGTCCATAAAGTTCGTGTGCACTTTAAAAAATTATAACTTTATTTGTATTTGCGATAGAAATAATTTGTAAAATGTATTAGAAAGAAGTAAATCTATATTTTTTAAGGTTTTATTGAAATTTTATTTCCACATGTCCTCCATCATTAGCAATACAAAGGGTTAATACAATTTTGCACTTCAGGGAAAACATTTGCCAACTGATTTACAGTAATGCCTGAAATCACATTTTAGCTTTCAAATCTTCTAATGAACTAGGTTTGGTTGCATACACAATTGTTTTCACATGTCTCCATAAAAAAATCTAATGGAGTCAAATCTGACGAACGTGGAGGCCAATAAAATGGTCCACCTCTTTCGATCCATCTGTTAGGAAATTCCTGATTTAGAAACTCTCTAACACGCGGAGTAAAGTGACAAGGAGCTCCATCTTGTTGGAACGCTGTATTATAACATTTTTTTACAGATTATTTCTATCGTAAATACAAAGAGAGTTATAAATTTTTTAAAGTGAACACGAATTTTATGGACACCCTGTATAAGAAAGGAGTAAAAAAATAAAAATAAATAAAAAAAATACTTTGTTCTTTCCTCTTAATAGTAACAAACATTTTGTTTTTATCAAGTTTGGGCCTTTTTTTATCGTGTTAATGCTGTTTTTTAACAAATCTTTGGAGGTACCTACATTTATTTCTTTAAAAATTGGTAAATGACAAATTTTGCATTGTATTAGTTCTAATTGTATTAGTTCTTAGAATGTTGTGAATATAAAATTACTTTTCTAAATAAAACATCTGATGAATAAATAGGATTAACAATTCTGACCACTTATCCTTTACACCACCCGCACATCCAAGCTTAAAGCATCTAGTCCTCCGAAGCGGTCACCTATCTAGGTACTGACCAGGCTCGACGTTGCTTAACTTTGTTGAACCGGTGTTTCAACATTATATGGCTGTAAGCCTATATTTTCTAGAGTGGAGAAATATATGGAGTTTACTATGCTAAAAAGTAGAGGATCTGTTTATTACTTGGTTCTAAAACAATACTGGTCCCCCATTTAAAATTTCAACCCTGATCATCAATATATTAACCTTGATCGTCAATATTTAATTAGTGAACAAGTGGACATTAACTGGGGAATCAATTTTGTTTTACAACCAGTTAATAAACAGACCCGCCACTTTTGATCCTCAGTAAATTAAACTACATACTAAATTTTTAATTGGTTTTCTTCTCATTGGTAATGCAAGTTAGCCCCGTTTTTCTATTTTTTTTCAAACTGCGATATTCAAAAATTAGTAGTGCTGGTCTTGCGAAATTGTTCTGATGAGCTTTCCTCGTTAGTATCTCCACTTTATGAATTTAAACGTGATTGGTTTGCCTATCGCCCGGTTCACTCTCCTCTCCAGACTTCGGTAAACATAACGTTTAATCATTATCTATAAAGTACATCCGACGGTAAGATCTCTCATCGGGAGGTTTTGAGGAGCGTGGAAACACCTCTTAATTGCTTTTTTTCCCAGGTCCACCCTGACCCGGGGTGGTAGTACCTGTTAGGGTTCCAGCTATGAGCAAATAGTGAATCCCCCCTCAAAAGGGGGTCAAAACACTATGAAAGTATAACAATACATTTTCATAGTAAAAAATTACCAGCGGTACATTTTTGTAGAAAAAAGTAAATCAAATAACAACATTAAATAAATATTATCAGCAATACATTTTTGGAGAAAAAAATGCTCCCAAGAAAATTAAATTTGGGCAATAAATGACCCATAAGGAGTTGATATGCCGCCAAATAAACGAATCATCATCTGTCTTTTCTTTATTTTTTAATCATTTCACCTCAAGCAAGGCAATAAAACCACTGAGACGGAAGAGGTTACTGAGTGCAAGAGTATATGAAAAAAAACTACTATTAAGGAGAGAGGACAATAAAAGAAGAAGAATTAAGAAAACAGAAGATAGCGATTGACATTGCATTTAAATTTTTTGAAGATCAAAGTTGACTCGGAAGCAAGAAGCCGGAAGAGAGCTCCACAAGCGAGAGGTGGGAAAGAAGAAACTGTTAGCATAGAACTTGAGGTTACGTCTAGCCATTTCAACTGTAAAGTGATGAGACCTTGCTGCCAATCTAGTACTGCGCTTAAATTCATAAAGTCTAGGTACCATAGAGGAAAGAGAAACAATTATCATGAAAGTATTTATAGAAAAGGCACGGGGAAGCTATGTCACGGCGGTGGGAAAGGGACTGAAGTCAAGATGCCAGGTCAGGACCAATAATATTGCAGATTCTTCTCTGGATTTTATCAAGAATCTCTAAATATATAGCAGGAAAACTAGATCAGATGTATCAGCCATATTCAATGCATGGACAAATGGTAGACTTTTAATCTGTCTTTTTTTTTAACCCTGTTCTTTTTATTGTCCTTTTTCTTCAATAACGTTTTCCCAGTTCTTTTCACTTTAAGTAAGCCCTTACATCTTAGTGGCTTTATCGCCTTTGCTTGGGATGAAATGTAGATCAAACTTGTATCACAAGCAACCCTGACAAACCTTTGATGTTTCAGTATTTTGGCGATGCACCTGACTGGGTTAAGTTTCTTGCAACTCCTGATTGCTCTTACAGAGAAAAAGTCAGGGGTGGGTCCTATTGTTGTGGCATTGACCGAGAGAAACATTTATCTTTGGTATACAATCGGCAAAACCTAAAGATGTGTCTACATAAAATAAATACTTTCCATCTCCTTTAAGATACCTGGTAGAATTTCTCTTTTATTTTTTTTCAATCGTTCTATTTCTTTTGTTTTTCTTTTCTCTCTCTCTCTCTCTCTCTCTCTCTCTCCCTCCCTCTCTCACTCACTATCTTTCTCTTTCGTTTTAACGTTTTTCCTTGAATTAGATCAATTCTTATTCTTCATTTTCTTCTGTATTCGTTTGGTTCTGTCTTCGTTAGGTTTTTCTTTCTTTCTTTCTTTCTTTCTTTCTTTCTTACATTTTTCCTCCTTTCAGGTTTTCTTTATTTCTTTAATACCAAATTTCTTTCTTCCTTTCTTCATTCGAGGCTTCTCTCTTCTTCTGACCCCACCCCACCATTAAATTATTTCAGGCTTTCTTTCTTTCTTTACTTTAGGCTTCTTCTTTCTTTTGTCCCCCACTCTCTTTATTTATTTCAGACTTTCTTTACTTTAGGCTTCTTCTTTCTTTTGTCCCCACCCTCTTTATTTATTTCAGACTTTCTTTACTTTAGGCTTCTTCTTTCGTTTGTCCCCACCCTCTTTATTTATTTCAGACTTTCTTTACTTTAGGCTTCTTCTTTCTTTCGTTTTCTTCTTTCTTTTATTTTTTTTTCTGTTGCTTTAACTTTCTTATCTTCTGTTTTTTATTCATTTTGGGTTTTTTTTTATTCTCCATTTTTTCTCTTCTTTTCGTCTTATTTTCTACTTTATGTTTGTATTTTTGAAATTTATTTCTTCTTTTTTGTTTCTCTTTTATTCGTTCCATTTGTTGCTAATTTCATTTTGACTTCATGATGACGGTCAGTGTCTCAAACGAAGGGGAAAAAAAACTCCCTTCTCATAAAACGTGATAGAAACCAGACGTGCATCATACACCTTCCTAGAAATTTGTCTTCTTAGTTATTCAATGCTCCCCGCCCAACATTTCGCCCTTCAGTTCTTTCCTCTTTCCTTCATCTACGACCCTAGAGTTAACGGGCAAATTCACAGGCGTCCATTCAGCCATGCCGTACTTTGATAAGCGAATGAAGAGAACAACTTCACGACGTATTTAAAGATGACGTTGTAATGAAAGATTGAAGCAGATATCACTAACAACAATACAAATAATGTGTCCGCATTTTCCACGTAAAATCAAGATTATTATATCTATTATAATCAGTGTCGGCGGGGCCGGTGCGTACTACCCCCGAGCCCCCACTTCGGCTCGACAGGCGCGAAGAGCCTTGATTGGGGGGTCAGGTCATCTTTTCAGCATTTGCTTTTTTATACCTATATTCAAATATATTTCAAATAGAACTAAGCACAACTGCCCATTAAAGGATTAACAATTTTTGCGGAATTTAACATCATTTTCTTTTTTTTTTTTTTGACATCAGTCTTTTTTTCTCCAAATCTGTGAATTTGTTTTGCTCATGCTAAGACTCGAAAAACTTGTTTTGCTCATTCTGAGTCTTGAAAAACTTTTTTTGCTCATGCTAAGTCTTAAAAAACATTTTTTGCTCATGCAAAATCTCGAAAAACTTGTTTTGCTCATGCTAATCTTGAAAAACTTGTTTTGCTCATGCTAAGTCTTGAAAAACTTGTTTTGCTCATGTTAAGTCTTGAAAAACTTATTTTGCTCATGCTAAGTCTTGAAAAACTTGTTTTGCTTTAAAAAACACTATATAAAATTCATTATTTCTCATCCATAATATTGAATGTGTTAAAATTATTCAACTTTAACAAGAAAAATATCAAGTTCGTGTTAAAAATTGCCGAAAAATATTGTTGATTTATTTAAGACTAGCTTAAAGGCCGCACTGTGTGCAGACTTTTAAGCTAGCTCCTGTGAAGGGCTAATTGGGTTTACAGTCTAAAACTAAAGGAACCTCTGGTCTAGCTTAGAAAACAGCAAGGATAATTTTGAAGAAATAACTTTAAATTCCTCAATTCACTCCATGAAACTTCAAAACCTCACTTTAAATCTTCTTCAAGATTTGTTCATCTCTCCGAGATGAGGTATTATGATTATTTACATTATTTACATTATTCGGACTGTTATCCTCATCTTCATTGTCATATTCACACTGTTTCGGCCGAATAATGTAAATAATGTGAATAATCACCTGAAGAAGTCCGGAGCGTACAACGGCCGAAATGTTGTGAATATGGCAATGAAGATGAGGATAACAGTCCGAATAATGTAAATAATGTAAATAATCATAATAACTCATCTCAGAGATATAGACAGATATTGATCAATAAAATTAATTGACACAAAACCTTTGTTGTCGTTAACCATCTGTGTGTGTGTGTGTGTGTGTGTGTGTGTGTGTGTGTGTGTGTGTGAGCGCGCGTGTTTACATTTGTATACAATACGTTAAAATTTCCCTTCCTCTCTGCCTTGTGCTGATAGCTTAGGGGTAGGATCTCGATCTCGGCTTGAAGCAACCAGATGTCTGCCCACACTGATGAGCTGTGATACAGCGAAACATGCCTGTATGTGGATGACCATATATTTGCAAGAATGGACACTGTTTTTCACAGCTCAAATTTCCCATATAAATTTAAGGTTCTGCATTGATGCCAGAAAAATAAGATTTTTAACTAAAAGGATAAAAAATAATAATTGTACATAAAAATTTTTATTATGTATTCTTTTTTCTTCTTTTTTCTCATTTTAGTCAACTTTTGGGACTACCTAATGATAGGATTCACTTTTAAATTTCATGTACTTTTTTACTTGAGCATAGCATATGTTATGGGCAGAGAAACAGGAAAACTTTATTTATTGTATTTATTTTCAATAGCCCACTTTTTTCAGTAGTAATTTAATAAGAACTAGAATAAACTTAAATACTCCAGTAGTATATTAATCATTAGGGATTTGTAATTCATGGCATTTTCAGAGTATAAAATAAATACTAAAAAATGACTTAAAATTAATTAAAACTTAATTTCTGTGAAGATACAGTTAAAGATCAAGCCTTTAACTGCTTCAAGAGAATTATGTTTCATCTTTCAGCTAATATCAATTTTGTTCTTGTGAAATAAAATTCTTTTTCTAATGACGTTGGTTCTTCGGCAAAACATATCAAAGCAGAAGTTTCCCAGATTGTGATATATTTATTTATTTATATTGGCTCTCTGCTTGTAATCAAATATGGCCATTGCCCAACATTAATCAAGACCCTCTTAATGGTGTTGTGTTCAAATATGACTTTTTAGCACAGTCAATGACTCCCTATTTGCCACAGGTTCTCCATGTATGAGTTGCATTTGCAGCAGCTGTAATTGATCTGAAACAGTTCCAGAGCATTGGCATTTCTATTAATAACATTTTTGGTCATCTTTGAATTGATGGATCATTTAGGCTGTTACATAGTGATGCACAGGCTGGCATCACTATGTAAGAAAAGAACATAAATACATGCAAACATACACACACACACACACACACACAGACACACACACACACACACACACACACACACACACACACACACACACACATATATATATATATATATATATATATATATATATATATATATATATGGTGGACTCTCCCGTCGTATTCGACGTATAATGGTCAAGCCCAGACACCAACACATATGATTTGACTATAGTGGTGAATGCTTTGTGCAGAACCAAACACACCTTTTGAAGGGCCGAATGCAGGGACCTGGTGCACTACTTGCCACAAGGTCTCCAAACGACCCTCCGCAGGTTTTGAATTCCAGTTGCCATCCAGAACTATAGAACCCTGTCTGTCCTGCTAGATAGCAGTAGAGATATAGCTTGGAAGAAGAAGATGATTAATACTTTTTACAAGGGAATAAGCATTTAAGCGAATTTAATTCGAACTTTTGCTCTCCGATTCGTCAATCCGAGCTTCACATGCATCTGTCTTGTCAAGCAGCCTTCATGTGTATGTGTATCATAATCCTGGTTTGTCTATGTGGGATTTGGATGATAATGTATACTCCTTTGTGTGTGTGTATGTATTCAGTAGGCATTTTTAAAGGAAATTCTGCTATTTTTAATTTTTGTGTTTGTTAAGCAGATCTCATGTGCATCTATTTTGTCAAGTAGAGTTTGTGGTATAATTCCTGTATGTATGTGTATCATAATTCTAGTTTATTTATGCAGGATTTTGGATGAATGAAGATCAAGCTTTTAACTGCTTAAAGAGAATCATGTTTCATTTTGCTGATGCCAGTCTTGTTCTTGTGAAATAAAATTCTTTTTCTGATGGCGCTGGTTCTTCGGCAAAATACATCAAAAATCTATATTTATATTTGTTTATCATGTTAGTAGAAGTTCAATGGTTACCTGTTTTAGATGTTCTATTCCCGCTCAGTGTCTGGACAATCTCCTCACAAATAAAGAAGAGACTTGATGCAGCAGAAATATGGTTCTACAGAAGGATGATGAGAATATCATAAGCCGAACATATAAACAACGACGAAATTTTAGAGAAAAATGGAAATACAAATGACACTTATACTTAGAACCAGAAAACTACGGTTGAATATCTAAGACACATAATGAGGAAAACGGCTTGGAAAATTTGGCAGATTGAAGGCAAAATATACAGAAGAAAACAACGCATAACCTACCTAAAGAGCTTGGATGGTAAAACAAGTTTTAGTGGATACAACAAAAAGACAAAATTTATTAAGAACTACAAAGGACAGGAAACTGTGGAGAGCCATGATCACCCACGTCCTGAAGGGACACGGCACATAGAAGAGGAATGAGCTTGTGTAAATGTATGGCGGAACAAGGCATAGGAGAGATAACAAAAAGACAAAATTATTAAGAGCTACAAAGGATAGGAAATTGTGGAGAGCTATCTACTTCTTGTTAGGACATGGCGCATAGAAGAAGAGGAATGAGCTTGTGTAAATGGATGGTGGAACAAGGTTTAAGGGGGACAGCAAAAAGACAAAATTTATCAAGAGCTACAAGGTACGGGAAATTGTGGAGAGCCATGATCGCCAAATTTCTAAAGAGACACAGGACACAAAAGAAGATTACCAATGCTAGTAAATAATTTATGATTTAATATTTATGTTTTTTTTAATTTAGGGTACCTTTAATTTGATCTTTAATTTTAGGGTATCTTTAATTTAAGGTACCTTCATAACGTATTCTACAGACCCACCAAGCGAGGTTAATTCGGCTCTGATGATAATACACGGTTACTTGTCCAAATTGAAAATCCGGTCCCGATCCCAACCTTCTGAAGATATCTGTCATCAGGTACATTAGAAAAAGTCAAGTTGTTACGAAATAATTATATCGTCATTTTTTATCTCTTGACAAGAACTTCATAATGAGTAAGATAAGGCGTTGACCCGTTACAGCTGATGACATCTTTGAAGAAACTTAGGGTGGGGAAAACATATCGAACTTTGTACAAAATGGCGGCAAACAGCCAATGCGTTTTGGGGGGCGTATTGACTTTCAGAAGTGGTTAGAAATCTATGTTACAACTTATTACTACTGTAGTGAGTTCGACCCCTACTGAATGACCCGCGCATAATAATGTGAGAGAATGAACTAATCTTAGCAACCACGCT